AGTGGCTCAATTTGAAAATTCGCGATTTACCGTTTATTCGCGACAAAACATGGGGTCTGTCATGGATAAGTGTCAGTAAGAACATGTACTACACACAAGTTTCAAAATCATTATAACACCTATATTTCATTATTTCCTATTATATATAGAATTCCATCTTCTAATATTTTCAAAAATCTTCATTTTCCCTTCTAATTGTGAAGCTTCCACTCTTTTCCTAACTTGATGAATCTTATTTAATGTATCATCTTGTAATAATTTATTTTCTTCATTATCTTCATTACCATCAATTTGTGATTCATCTTCAACTTCAACTTGTAATAAATAATCATGTAATATCTTAAAATGTAATTGTAACGAAGGATTTTTATAATCTTTTGGTTGATATCCTTTTAATATTAAATTTTTCAATATAGATTTCGTAACTAATTTTAAATCATTTGAAGGTTCATTATAATATTCATAACCTTCAGGAATTTTCCTAATATCATCCAAAAATGGTAATCTAATAAGCATAAACCCCTCAGGGAATGGGGTTTTGGTAATTTGTAATGCATATAAACTTGGTTGTCCACTTTTTCTTAATTTACCAAATAATATAGCAATTTTCTCTAATTTTTGTAAACTTTGATAAAGTGCACTTAAGGTTCTTCTTGATCCATCATATTTATCTTCATCAGGTATAACAAATGGAATTTTTGAAGTATTATAATGGAATTTATTACCAAATTTTTCATTTTTAAAACCTAAAAGTTTTAAAAAACAATCATAATTTTCATCATATGTTTGTAATTGAAAAATTTGATCATTTGTTAATTTAATAGCATCATCTTCACCAGAACCAAATTTATAAATTTTAACAGTTTTATCAAATTCTGCCCCGGTTTTTTCATTGAAAAATCTTCTTTTACTATAAACATTTTTCCGGAAATTTTCAGTTTCATAAACATATTTATTTCTTTGAGATTTTTCATGTGTATATATAGAATAACCTTTTACACCAACAATTAAATTATCATTAAAAATTAAAGGACATTGGAATTGAATTCTTCTAATTTCTTTCCTTCTTAATACACGTTGTTTTATAATTGAAACATCAATTGGTTTTGTACTTGGTCCATCAAACATTGAACTTTCACCAGCTTCTAATTCATCATTTGGATTATCATGAGTGATTGAAAATAATTCTGAATAAATTTTAGGGTCAAATTGTTTATATGAACTATTAATTAAAAATGGTGATATATTTATATGAGCATCATCTAAATCATTATATAATCTTCTTAATATGTTTTTCTGTGAAACATTTTCAGGATTAATTGGAGTATCATTATCAGTAAATAAAAAAATCTTATTATTATTATATTGTTTTTGAAAATCTTTTTTAATTAAAAATTCATCTTGTAAAGTTACTAAAATTTCATATAATTGATTTTCCTTAAGTTCTTGATCATCAGTCTCTAATACAGGGAATCTATCTTCTAATGATCTATAAACCCTTGAATCATCATCAGTTTTAACATTTTCCTCCAAGATATCTTGAACAATTTTCATATTTGAATAATTTAAATCAGTTAAACTAAATAATTTTTCTAAACCAGGTTTTAATCCCTGAGAAGTTTGATCATTCCCACTATGGAAAAAATAACAACCATACCCTGTGTTTGGTAATGTTATTATAGAATGAGCCATTGATTCATTTAAAATTTCTAAAATTTCTTGTAAATTTGATTTACCATTTGTTGAATTTGGTAAAAAAATTGTCTTTGTTAATTCAATAACAAAGATTATACCTTCGTGTACTTCATATCTTGGATGTTGTTGAGCTTCTTCTTCGTCCATTGTTATCACTGTTCTGTCTCTAATTGAAATGAATTGAATTGAATTGAGTTTCTTTATGACTTGATCAAAATTGCCTTCTTTCGTGTTTTTGATATTCCTTATTACGCGGTGTCCCGTAACAAATCACCCGGATTTGATTTAAATATATTCGCGCTTTTTATTTTCCAGAAAAAGATTCAAAAGCTCATTAAAAGAGTACATTGAAATATTGATGTTTTAGTATCAACATTCATACAACACACACACAACAAATCATAAATCATGCCATTTTTCCAAGTACAACTTAAAAGATCACTTATAGGATTACCAGCCAAAACTAGATTAACAGCAACTTCTATGGGATTAACCAAGACTGGTAGAACTTTAAACTATGAAATTAATCAAAGTATTGCAGGTAAATTATTAACTTTAAAAGAATTAATTAAAGTTGATATTGTTGATGAAAAAAAAGATAGAGAAGGTTTAAGAAAAGCAAGAAAAAGTGATCCTGGTTTTATTGTGGAGAAACAAGTTGATAATCAAGTATGAAGGTGGTTTATTATTAGAAGGTTTATTTGTACATAGAAGGTTTAAAGATATTTTGTATATTATTGAAATCAAACACAGCATTTGTTTTTATTATTTCCTAAATTCAAAACTAAATTCAGTATTTTGTAAAAGATTTTTCGTATCAAATGTATTTTGTTGTTGAGATTGTTGATGATTTGATTGTTGATGTTCATCAATTGGTAAAATTGAGTCATCAATCATTAATCCACTATCATCAACTAATTTAGCATAATCATTTTTATCCATTGCTTTCCCTTCAAAACTTAATTCCATTGATGAAGTATCTTGTTGAACTTCAGTTAATCTTTTATTTTTCTTTATGGAGGAACTTGCATCAACAATTTCATCACGATTTCTTTTCAAAGGAGTTGATAAAGATTCATTTTGTAAAAATTTATTAATTAATTTATTTGGACCTTGTTGTTGTTGATTATTCAAGATATTTGTTTTTTTAGTTATATCAATTTCTAATGTACCTAATTTAAATTTTTTAGCATTTTTTTTATTTTGAATAATAATTTTCAAAGCAGGATCCATTGATTCTAATTTTTCTCTATTTGGATTAATTCCTTGTAAATTTTCCATGAATGTAGATTGTAATATATTTAATGGCGATGAAATTTTAGCAGGTTGACGTTGTTTTATTGATGGTAATTCATTAAATTTATGAGTTGACGGTTGTTTAGGGTATAAATAAGGTAAAGTTAATTCCAGGGGAGAATATATTGGAGCAGGTGTGAATTCATGTATGCTTTGGATTGAAGGTGTAGGTTTTCTTGGTTGATATGAGTTGTTGTTATTGTTGTTGTTGTTTTGTTGATTATTGCTATTACCATTATGATAATTGTTATGATTATGATTATGGTTATTGTTATTGTAGCTGTTGTGTCTATGGAACTCCTTCTTTCTGTTCTGCGGTATCTTCTTTCTGTTGTTGTTCATTGTGTGTATCCTTGGGTATATCCTTGTGGTATATTATGATATTCTTGCTTAATCGATGTTTTGTTGATGTTTAATTTCACTTTTTTCCTTTGTTTATTTTGATTTCAAATTGGTAAATAAAGCAAAAAATCACCCATTCGAATTCCAACAGTCGCATTTTACTTTTTTTTTAATTTCCATTTTTTCATTTACGAAAAATTAAAAGTAAACAAAATTTAAACTGTGAAAGTACTTAAATATGCTTGAACGAGAGGAACGAATGAACGAGTGAATAATAAATCAATGGATACTTCTACAATCTACAATCCATACAATCCACACAGAGACATGGATCTCATCAACAAATAATTAATTACTTATATCCTGGTTAGTCAATCAAGTCAAAAGTCAAAAGTCTTAAAAGTCCGTTTAAACTTTCAACGTTCGTAATGCACCAGCTCAAATAAATAAAAGATTTACGAACGCTTTTTCACCTAAACGATCCATAACAAAAAATTTAGTACAACATTTACGAATTAAAGTAAAAGGAAAAATATAATGAACTAAGCTTAACTACATTCGCTTCCCATACGCCTTGATCATTCGTATAAACATAGCATTACCTTGGTTAAATCTATATAAACTGGGTCATTTCCTTAGATCATAATATCATATAGATATCACATCAATCAGATAATACCAGATCTCAAACATACCCACATATCTCCACCATGTCCACCACCATAACATCCAACATCATAGATCAAGATCAATTACAAGATCAAATCAATAATGGTCATGCTAGAAGAATGGGTGATATAGAAAATTATTTTGGTTTATTACAACGTCAAAATTTATACAAAACATTTGCAGTTTTAGTAAAATTTGATCAAAAAATTAATTATAATGATATATTATTGAAATCATTAAGAGATTTATTCTTAAAATATCCAATCTTGGCTTGTTCAATATTAGATACTGATTATTCAGATCTTTCAAAACCAAATCCAATTCATGATTATATTTATACATTACCAAAAATTCAATTAAATGATATATTATATGAATTACCTCAACATATTAAAGATTCTAAAGATGATCATGAAATATTATTAAGTAAAATTAATGATATTGTATTACCATATGCCAAGGGAAACACCTTATGGAAATTAGCCATATTAGATGATTATACAATGGTTTATTTATCAAATCATTGTCTTTCAGATGGTATAACTGCTAAAAATGTTATTCAAGATTTATCGAATTTATTTGAAAAACATTTAAAAGAACCAATTGTATCAACTAGTTTGGATTTAAAAAAAAGTATTATAAATTATGCATTAGACAAAAATCAAATAAATAAATTACCAGTTCCTTTAGATTCATTAGTTTCTTATAAACCTCCAATTTCATATTTTTTAGAATTTGGTTTAAATTTAATGGTTTTCAAATTCCTAAGTTTCAAGAAAAATCTTGTTCAAAGAAATGATAAACATTTATATAAAATCTTAAATATTCCTGCAAATCATGTTTCAAATATTAAAAATCAATTATTAAATCATCATCAATCAACTGGTGATGAAAAAATAACAATAACACCATTTATTGAAACATCATGGTTAAATGCTCAATATAAAGCAGGATTATTTAAAGATACATGGTTTGGTTTAAGTGATGTTTCAATCCCATGTGATGCAAGAAAATATTTACCATCAGGTATTGATAATGATGAATTTAAATTTGGTTCAAATACTTCAGGTTCACATAAATATTTCCATCCAGTTACAAAATTTAATTTAGAAAATTTAAAATATCATAATAAATATTCAAAATATCTTTCCCAAACTAAAAGATATTTATATAATATGGGTATAATGACATTAGATCAAATTCAACAAAGCAAGAACCTAGATCAATTAATTATAGATTCTTATATTGGTCAACCAAGAGGAAATACATTAATTTCAAACATTGGAATTATTCATGATTCTCAAAATGGTGAATTTAAAGTGGAAAATTGTTATTTTGCACAAAATGCTGGTTCTATTGTTTTCAATTTTAATTTATGTGTTTCTTCTTGTAAAAATGGTGGTATTAATATACTTATAACAATGGAGGAAAATGCAACTTCAAAAGAAATGTTTGAAGAAATTGTGGAAAAATTCCATGAAAATTTATTAAATTCTGATAAACTTTAATCAGCTTTACTAGACATAGATTATTAGCTACATTCATTTTATTGTCAATTCATTAAATCATATTCATTTCAAATATACTATATATACTATATTCTTTCATTTCATTAAACTTGTAATTTCGTAAAATTTGCACCCCCACTTGGTGGAACTTGTAACCAATTCAATTCATCATAATTAGTTACACCATCAATAACATGGAATGCATAAGCATACCTTGAATTATTTGAAAAATTTAAATTTGAACGATGTAAAACTTGATTATGAATCAAGATTAATGAACCTTTAGAACATTTAATTTTTAAATAATCTTCTTCATTATTATCATATTCATCTCTTTGTTCTTCATTAAAATAAATAAACCCAGTCCCACCTTGTTCCTTTTTAACAAATCTTTTTTGAATTGGTACAGTTTTATGTGAACCTGATAAATAACTTAGACATCCATTTGTTTCATTACAATCTTCCAATGCAATCCAAAAACCAATTGCACTTTGTGGTTCTGTATATAAGAAGGTACCATCCTGATGACTTGGAACTTCACCACCAATTTCAGGTTGTTTACAAATAATCATACTTTGTAAAACTCTTGGATCTTGGAAACCTAATTTATCAACAATTTCTTTAGATTTATGATTAATTGTATGCTTATTGAAGACTGGATCAATATGTAAACCATGACCAATCTTATTTATAGCTCTTTCTTTGGATTTAATTAATTTATTATCAGAATTAAAAGCACCAGGTTCTAAAAAAAATCGTATTTTATCAGAACTTTGTAAGAAATAATCATCACCAACATGTTCATCATTATTTTCACCACCAGTGGTGAATTTTGTCATTGAATGATTTTCTAAATCAAATTCATCAATTAATTTATATGTATGATTTAATAATTCTTCAACTTCTTCAGGGTTTAAATAATTTTCAATGCATAAACAACCTTCATTGTTAAATTTATCAACTTGCTCTTGACTGAAAGTGAAACCAGTCATGATTATCCCTCTTTTTCTATTCCTTAAACAATCACCAGCTGTTCAACAACCTCCTTAACCCTCAAGGCTAACCTTCAAGCACTATCCTCTTCAAAAACAAAGAATATCAATCAGATTAAAATCAGTTCATTATTCAAAAAAATCTTTCGAGGTGCAATCAAAAAAAAAATCCTGCATATAATTATACGAGTTCCCAAAAGGGAAATCATGAAATTGGTTATTTGCACTGGTCTAAGTTTCCGCGAAACTGATATTTTTCAAAACATTGGAAATTAATTTGATGGAGTTTTTGAAAGGTTTTTGGCATCTAGTCAGTGGAAACAACTGTTGTGTGGTATTAATTGATCATCTGTGTTGCTATTTGGTTTAGACTGCTGTTCTGGATATACTGGTGGAGTGCTTCTGCTTTTTGTTTGGATCGATTTGATAAAAAAGTGGCAAAAATACGCTGATTTGAATAACTTATTATGGATGATACAGTACGTTTATTGATACGTTTTGTATCAAGAGGATTCTATGGGAAACCTTATGTGTTGATCTTGGATGCTATATTATTACACTCTGTGCTCTCAGAAGACGATTTATCACATCTTTTAGGGATTCAAAGGAAAGAATTAAGAGCATTGTGTAATAAATTGGTTGATGATCGTTTATTAACTATGCATGTTCAAAAAGAAGAAGGACCACAATTTAGACCTATTTCAAGAACCTATTTTTATATACATCACACAGAGGCTATTGATTCTATTAAATGGAAAATACATTCAGTGGTCCAGGGGATTAAAGATGAAATGCATGCTACAAATACTCCTCAAGGTTATATTTGTCCAGTTTGTAAAACAAAATATTCACAATTAGATGCAATTGCATTATTAAATTATGAAAAAAATGAATTTTTATGTTCATTATGTAATGAAGAGTTAATTGAAGATGATTCTGGTAAAATTGCAAAAGAAAATCAAATTAAATATTCAAAATTAATGGATCAATTAGAACCTGTTATTAATTATTTGAAGAAAATTGATGAACATCCAATTGCTGAAAATAATTTCGAAACTTCTTTATCAAGAGTTATTCCTGTTCAAGCTACTTCAAATGCTTCATATGCTGTTTCTAATTTCAAAAGTAAGAAAATGTTTAATAGAGATTCTTATTTAAACAATTCAAATTCTATGCGTGCAGGTTCAAGATCTCAAGCTACATTACATGTTAATATTACTTCAACAAAAGATGATAATTTACAAAAAGAAAAACAAGCTCTTGAAGCTGAAGAAAAGAAGAAACAAAATGCATTACCAACTTGGCATGAAGAAAGTACCATTGGTAAAGGTTTGGGTAAATTTGATAAAGATGATGAAGGTGATATAGATATAACAAATGATGAGAATGCAGAAAATAAAAATGGTGAACAACAAGGACAATCTACAGATGAACAAAATAATGATCCTACAACTAATGTTAAAACTGAAGGTGTTGATCCAACTGCTCCTTCACAAATCGATAATGATGTTACATCAACCACAACTCAAGCAACACCTGCAGAGGCTGAAGATAAAGAAGCACAAGATGCATTAGCTGCTTATTATGCACAATTAGCTGCTAGAGATAATGATGATAATGACGATGAAGACGAAGAAGAAGAGGATGATGATGAAGAAGAAGAAGAATTTGATGATGTTCAATTTGAAGATATTGGAAATAGTCAAGATCCAAATGGTAATGATAATGAAAATACAACAAATAAAGATGCAAAAGCTGAAGATCTGGTTGTTGAAGAACTAGAATTTGGTGAAAGTGATGAAGAATAAGACACTACATATAGAATAAATCAAAAACAAATACAAAACTTAATTTATTATTATATAAGACGTTTATCTTTTAATCTAATTGAATATGTTGTAGAAGGGGGTATAAAAAAGGGGAATAAATATAAAAACTAAAAAGAAGACAATAATTATGCAATATTTAATGAATTGATTGATCATTTACAACCATGAACCAATTTATTTTTTGGAAATTCATAACCAGCAGCTTCCCAACTTGTTAAATTTGGATTCATATAGGCATTCAAATGTTTTGAAATATAATCTTGAGTTGGATAATCACCAGGATCACAAGTTAATTGAGTTTTACCCTTTGGTTGATAAATACGAACATAATCAATTTGGAACTGAACAGGGAAATTAATAAATAACCAATCAATATTTGACCAAGCTGTTGAAATACCTAAATTCAAAATAATAGACATTGGTTCTTTTGACATATCTCTCCATCCAATATTACCATCTGGATGGAAAACTTCACCTTGAATTGTAACTGTTGGTTCATCACCAACGAAAAATCTTGTATATGTATCTTTCCTTTTTTCAGCTTTACTTAAATATTCAACTGCAAATTTTTGGAAATGAGTTTCTTCATCTTCATAAACAACATTTGGTTGTTCTTTATCAACAACTTGTTGAAACCAATGATCATTTAATGTAGTAATTGTGGATACCATTTCTTGGAAAGGTGTACCTCTAAATGAATTTTGATTTGAAATTGATAAATTATGAATTGCAACATAATCATAATCAGGTTGATACCAAATATCAAAAGGTGCAATTTGAATGGTTTGTGATGCAACACCAAAGATAAGTTTATCAGAATGAGCACCTTCTAATAAATCAACTTCTGGTGCACCTCTACCAGTACCTCTATTTGGATGATCTTCACCTTTACATGTACATTTATTTAATTTTTGACCTGGTAATTGTGAAATACCATCATTTGAAGATTGATTAGCTGTAATACCTGCATCACATTCATCATAACTATAAGGCCAAACACCTTCAGTTGAAGCCATATAACCAGCTCTAGCTAAATTACCTAAAGTCCATAACCCTGGCCATAACCCAGCAGCACTTGCAGAACCTGGTAATTTTGCAGAAATTTCTAAAATACCTTCAGTAAAACATAATTTATTCCAACTTTGAACCATACCACTTCTATAAAATAAATCATGATTTTCATGAACATCCATTCTTAAATTTAATGTACCATTTTGAGTAGATACAGCATCAGGTTCATACCATTCTAAATCTTTAGTTGCAGCATAATTTAAATTAACAGCTTCCCAAAATTGATCCATACCTGGATAAAATGTTCTACCTTCAGCACTAAATTCATCAGAAAATACTAATTCCCAATCTTCACCATCTTTATTTTTTCTCTTGTATGCAGATTCTGGTGTTGAATCATCAACCATTTCAGTTCTAATTGCAGATAATTGTGGATAAATATAATCAGTTAAATGTTCATAAACTTTTGGAGGTTTAACTCTATGAGATAACTTATCTGAACGAGCAACGAATGGTATAACAAAAGATAAAACTGAGATAATAATAATCATAACAATTAAAATGACCAATCTTTCCCAATTTTTAGTACCAAACATTTCCCTCAATGAAGCCTTTTTGTTTTTAAAATTAGCTTTCCATCTTTCCAATCTTGATAATTCATCACCAGCAATTTCACCTTCTTGTTTTAATTCACCTCTTTCAGCTAAATCATGTTTCGATGGACTTTTCAAATATTGGGCATTGATGAAATGATCTCTTTCCACAACATTGTTCATTGAACCATTTTCACTAGTTGCAGAAGATTCAGAACTTGTGTTTATAACTCTTGTTGTAACTTGTGCACTTTTACCAGGTTTTGGTAAATCATCTTCGAATATGAATTCTTCATCATCACTTAATGTATCACTATAATTATGAGCTTTATAAATATCGGAATTGACGCTAAAATTGTTTAAAACATTTTCTTTCATTTGTTGCATTTCAGCTAAATTATCCAACTGATAAGATGATTCTCTTTTAGATTTTGGAGTGAAAACATTCTTTAAACTAAATGTTGAAGAATTTGAAAGTTTTGTTTGACCATTCTGAGTGGATTTCTCTTTTGGAAGACCAGAGTTATCACTCTTGGAACCAGCATCAGAACTATCACTACCTTTATTATTCCTGATAGAATCTTGTTCCCCAGCCATACTATTTCAAAATTGAACAGAATTTGATATTAATTTCTCTATGATTCTCTTAAGATATTTCTCCTCTGGCTTAATTATTCAGATTCGATTTTATCATGTAACTCAGATCAAATTAAAATTCAACCAAAGGTTCTATCCTGACTTTGTAAGTGAAACTAAAGAAAGAGGAATGAAAAGTTATTTAACAATGTGCAGCTTGAAATATATAAGTACAATAATAGAAAAAAAAATGATATTCATATATGAGATAACTAAGTTTGATTACTTTAGATAAAAATACTCAAATGGAAAATACAAACTTAATATGCAAGAAAAAAAATGTCTAACTTCTGAAATATAGAAAATCATAATGGTCCAGGTCTAATATACGATCACTAAACTTTACTCAAATTCATATTGATATTGAATTGAACCACAATGAATTTATTAGTATTGTTCTCTAATTTTCCGTTCTGTCGATTTTTCTTCTTGAGAATATTATATGATGAAGTTTCGTTGTAAATCAATCATCCCTCCCATAGAAAAAAAAGTTCTTTTGACTCAAGATATGAGATATTTTATACAGTGTTTAGCAGTCACTAATGATATTCAAATAGTCGAATCCAAGGCTTCAACCACACGTTATGTATTGCAACTAAATTTAAGTGCAACCTATTTCAGGATTCTTGAAACTTGGATTAGTATAAATTACTAGCACCAAAGATGTGTAAATTCAAATTTGATCCACTTGAGAGGACGAAATTATAATTTTACAGTTATTTGTGTTGACGGAATCAAACCAGTATTAAGCTAATATGTAAATGATCTTCAAATCTTTCCCAATTATACCTATCCTGTAAGTACTGCAACTTCCAAAAAAATTACATTATGACGAAATGAGCCGTAAAAAAGCTTCTATTTCTTCCCTATAATTCATATACCACACGTTTCATTAGATACCGTGTCCTCGTGAAGGTAATAATAACATTTTGAACTAATTAAATGACACAATTCATAAACATTTATGCAAGAGTTCTCATAAATCTCTATATTTCTCCCAAAGGGGAAATGCGGTATACTCATATCACGTGCTAAGAGCTCGGAATTCATTTTTTCAAGGGGAAATCAATAAAGTATGGAGAAACATCAACAATTAGTTGAAGTAACAAAGATATAGGATTTGGCTGACAAGAAGTGTCAACAAAGTAGAAATTATGCCTACATTACCTACTGCGTTTGCTGAAACAACAAAGAGAAGTCTTAACAACAAGGAATTGGGACAAAGGGTTCTTGGACTTTATAGAAAATACCTTAGAAGTGCCCCAGTTTTCATTGAATTATATGAATTAGATTTACCAATTGGTGTTGTTAGAACAAAAATTAGACAAGAATTTGAAAGAAATAGATTTCAAAAAGATATTAATATTAATAATGTCTTGTTAGCAAAAGGTCAAATGGAATATCAAGAATTGATTAATTTTTGGAAACAAAATGCACATGTTATGCGTTATTTTGAACATGAAGGTGATACAAGATTTTCAACTGATGCTAGATTAACTGATTCATTTGTTGGTAAATTCTTAAAAGGTTATTGATTTTCATATACCTTGAACCATTTATTATTTATTTATTTATTTATTTATTTATTTATATCATTATTTATTAGTGCTTACACATATTAAGTCATATTTATTTATTTATACAAGTTTCCATTTACATATTATACTACGTTGTAAGTACGAACGAAAATCTATGTAATATTTCTCTTTTTTTGAATATCTAAAATATCTATTTTATGTACCGATAACTAATTTACAAAATGCAGTCCCCCTTTTTATATTAAAGCTTAAAATAAACCTTCAATATCACCATTTTCACTAACTTGAACATTCATATAACCAGCATGAGTTGGTAAACCTGGAATGGTTTGGATTTCATCAGCTAATGCGTATAAATAACCAGCACCGATTGAAGCTCTAACGTCTCTAACTGGGAATTCAAATCCACTTGGAACACCTTTCAAATTAGCATCATGAGATAATGAATATTGAGTTTTAGCAATACAAATTGGTAATTTACCAAAACCTTGTTCTTCATAAGTTTTAATTTTTTGTGCAGCTAATTCAGAAACTTTAATTGAAGAACCATTATATAAATTTGTAACAATTGAAGTTAATTTTTCTTCAACTGAATCATTAACATCATATAAAAATTTAAATTCTTCAGGTTTTGAATGTTTAACTGATTCAACAACAGCTTTTGCTAATCCAACTGCACCTTCACCACCTTTACCCCAATGGTTACTTTCAACAGCATCGATAGCACCAGCTTCTTTAGCTAATTTTTTAACTAATTCAATTTCAGCTTGAGTATCATCTTTAAATTGATTTAATGCAACAACAACATTAATACCAAATTTTTTAACATTTGCAATTTGTTTGGCTAAATTTTCTGAACCTTTTTTAACTAATTCTAAATTTTCTTGTAAATATTCATCAGGTAATGATTGACCAGGTTTAACATTTGGTGCACCACCATGTAATTTTAAAGCTCTAATAGTAGCAACAAGAACAACGGTATTTGGAACAAGACCTGAAGCACGACATTTAATATCTAAGAATCTTTCACCACCCATTGTGAAATCGAAACCTGCTTCTGTAACAACAAAACCTTTTTGTTCAGATTTATCATTAGCATTTGAACCAACAAGTTTTAAAGCTAATTTATCAGCAATAACTGAAGAAGCACCAATTGAAATATTTGCAAAAGGACCTGCATGAATCAAGACTGGTGAACCTTCTAAAGTTTGCATTAAAGTTGGTTTAACAGCATCTTTTAATAAGGCACCAATAGCACCTGCAGCACCTAAATCATCCACAGTAATTGGTTCATTATTATTATTTAATCCAATAACGATATTACCAACTCTTTCTTGTAAATCATGTAAATCTTTTGATAAAGCCAAAATAGCCATTAATTCTGAAGCAACAGTAATATCAAATCCTGTTGTTCTTGTGAAACCTTTTTCAGTTGGTGCTTGACCAATTGTAACTTGACGTAAAAATCTATCATTAACATCAACAACACGTTTAATAGTAATAGTATCAGGATTAATATCTAATCTTGCAAATTTTTTAATTTCTTCTGGAGTTAATTCATCAGGATTTGTCTTACTGATACCTAATTTATTTAATCTTTTCAACATTGAATCAGTGAATTTTCTTTCACCTTTTTTAGATGGTACTAATCTTTTATAAAAAGTTTCATCTTTTTTTTGAGTTAATTCATGGAAAATTCTTGTATCAATAGCAGCAGCTAATAGGTTATTAGCAGCACCAATAGCATGAATATCACCAGTTAAATGCATATTAAATTCATCCATTGGGATAACTTGAGCATAACCACCACCGGCAGCACCACCTTTAACACCAAAAGTTGGACCCATTGAAGGTTGTCTAACATTAGCAATAGCTGGGATATGTAAATGAGATGATAAAGCTTGAACTAACCCCATTGTAGTTGTTGATTTACCTTCACCTAATGGAGTTGGAGTGATACCTGCCACAAGGATATAATTAGCATCTTTACGATCTTTTAAACGATCATAAGCTTTTAAATTAACTTTTGCCTTATAATGACCAAATAATTCTAATTCATTTTCTTTTAATTTTAATTCTTCTGCAACATCTTTAATTAATTTTGGAGTTTGAGCTCTTGAAATATCAATATCTGATGGAACTGGATTTTCTAAAGTTAATGGATTAACTGAAAATTGTGGTAATGATTGTTCTTTAGCTAATTGTCTTTCAGCAGCTAATAAAACATTTTGAACAAGCATTGCCACAGTCATTGGACCAACACCACCTGGGACTGGTGTAATAAATGAAGTTTTATCTTTACTTGATTCAAAATCAACATCACCAACTAATCTTTGACCAGATTTTTTAGTAGAATCTGGGATATAATTAATACCAACATCAATAACAACAGCACCTTGTTTTAACCATTCACCTTTAACAAAATTTGGTTGACCGATTGCAGCAATAACAATATCAGCATTTTTAACAATTTCTGGGATATTTGCTGTTCTTGAATGACAAATTGTAACAGTTGCATTTTTTTTCTGTAATAAAGAAGCAACTGGAATACCCACAATATCAGATCTTCCCAAGACAACGGCATTCTTACCAGAAATTTCAGTACCAGATTGTTCTAATAATCTCATACAACCATTTGGAGTACATGGAATAAATTTTGGATCACCACCTTTTTTTGATAATTCACCAATATTATAACGACCAAATCCATCAACATCTTTATCATCATTGACAAAATTTGTAATTTTTGGTTCATTAAGATGTTTTGGTAGAGGTAATTGAATTAATAATCCATGAATTGAATCATCTTGATTAATTTCATCAATTTTATTTAATAATTCTAATTCACTAACATGTTCATCTAATTTTTCAATAATACATTCAACACCAGATTCTTTTGAAGCTTTTAATTTCATATTAACATATGTTGTAGAATCTGGTCTTGCTCCAACTTGTAAGATTTTTAAAGTTGGTTTAAATTTTGGATAAGTTAATTTAATTTGTTCAATTTTTCTAAAAGCATCATTTCTAACAGTTTTGGATAATTTTAAACCTGATAATGTAGTATAATATCTCAAACGCCTACTAGTAAATTGAGTAGATCTGTTTATAAGGGCACTTAACACCATGATGGATATAATTCTGGGGTTTGGTAGGTGTCAAAGTAAGTTAATCCAGAACTTGACAGGTATATTATATGTAAGTAACTTTTAATTTTATTTCACCTTTAATTTAATCAATTTACTATGGAAAAAAAAAATATTATAGTCATCGAAATTTACGTCATCGCTTATGTAATTGGGCCATGTGAGGGGAGGGTTACACTTTGTTGATTATGTAATATGATTAGTATATTTAATTAAATATTTATATAGATTAATAAATTATTTCTATAGTATTGAAGTATATATCAATGATGGTTAAATATAATCTTTCTAGTTATACTTTAATATCTCAGAAAAGTTGAAATTTTTTTTTCAGTTTATAAAATTTCATAATTTTATTAACCATTAATTTTTTAATTTTACTTTGAAATGTTATAAATTGATAAAAAGAGTGTTTGTTCACC